GCAGCCATGAAAAGGCACAAGGCGATCCGAGGCTGCACCAGGCAGTAGGGATGGGGACTCGTTCATGCCCTGGGAAAACCGTGATGCCCCGTCACCCTCGTGCAGAGAGAGGAATCCCAACGGGGCAGCAGCAGAGGGGGGCAGTAGGATGACTGGGGAACACGTGGAGATGGAAGGGGCGCGCCAGGACGGCTGAGATGGGATCTCCTTGTTCTCTCTAAATGCAGCAGGGCAGGGAGGGGGAGGAACCGGCCCAGATGGAGCAGCCACAGCTGAGAATTAGCAGGGCGTTATGGCCGCGAGGGATGAGCCATGGATCGCGGGGGAGCCTCATTATTTCGAAGCTGGAGCTTGAGACGTTGATGTGACCGAGTTGCCCACGGGAGCTGGACACGCGACCCAGGAGGCTCCTTCATTTTGGCAAGGTCCAACCCATTTTCCAGTCGTTTGTTGAAAGACTCTAAAGCCTTGGCAGCCGGGAACTTTCACCAGGGAAGTTCTGCGGGGCAGGGAGGAGCCTTCTGCTGCTTGCGTGAAAATCCACCTACACTTGCTCATCTTATAAATCTCTGGGAATCGCAATTTACACAAGCTCCGGTGGGCGGGGGTGGTCAGGGATTGGCCTTTCTGGGCTTTCCCGCAATACAACTATTGTAAACACTCCGATCTTCCCGGATGGAATGTGTTCCCAATGGAAATAGCCATTTTGTCAAAGCTGAGAATTTCCCATGGGTGTGCACTGAGGATGATACGAATTCTTTCAATACAGATGAAACAGTTGTGGTCTGAGCTGCACAATCAAACTACATCTCCACGCTGCCCCACAAGCATGGACTCCCATGAGGCACTAGCGTCTCCCAACCAAAACCCACCTGGTGCTTCATGGGACATGCAGTCTGAGCAGAGCATGGGACATTATTGGAAAGGGCCTTTGTGATTTTTTAATATTGTTTGTTTGCATCTTCTTCTGAGCAGAATTTTGCTCCTATTAGAAACAGTGAGAAAAGATGCTCTGTACAAATGGTACATTTCTACGTAGGCTTTATAATTAGAGATATCGAAATCTCAGGGAAACAGACTTGTTTTCCCAAACACCTTTTGCTTGCTGGGAAAACTCAGAATTGTTTCCTTGTTTCGTGATTCAGGATGAAAACCCCTTGTGAAATCATATGGCGGCTAATCAGAGAGGAGTCCTGAATATGTTAATTTCCTTTTGCAATCTGTCCAATTGAGGATGAGTTTGCAAGGAATTTCACACTTCCTGAGCAGCAACCTGTCCTCAGGAATACCTGAGACACTGCTGGAAGGATGGTGAAACCACAGAACCCTCCCACTCCACCCAATGGTGGCTTCTCGCCAGGCTCTTTCCTACCTGCTGCTGCCCCGATAACCAGAGTGGCGAGGACCAGCAGCTGCATGGTGGCTGTGGCAATGGGAACAGTCGGCGGCATTGCTGGTTTACTGCAGGGAGAGAGAGAGACACGCTGGCCACGGGTGTCGTGAGGAGAACAGGTGACTCTCTTAGTGAGGTGCTTGCTTAGGAGTCAGAAAAACTTAGGCCTGTGCCTCTTCCTGCCATCGACTTTCTGCATCTCGGTTACCCTGCCTGTACCAGGAGGACAACAGCAGTGCCCTACGTGACAAGGACAAAGAAAGGGGATTTGACAGCAGCCTTCAGCTTCCTGAAGGGAGGTTCCAAAGAGGATGGAGAGAGGCTGTTTTCAGTAGTGATGGATGGCAGAACAAGGAGCTGTGGTCTCAAGTTGCGGTGGGAGATGTCTAGGTTGGAGATTAGGAAAAACTATTTCACTAGGTGTCACGTTACTGGACTTTGATGGGAGCAGCCAGATCACTGCTGCACCCATGGGGGGGGGGGGGTTGGCCCACATGTGGGGTGCTGAATAGAAGCTTATTGTCTGATAGTCCTATGTAAGCTATTTATGTGGTTGTATAACGTCTGTGTGTGTAGTTAGGAATCTGTAGTCTGTGTGGATCCTGAATATTTCTCTGCATGTGGTTGAGCATTGGGCAGAGCCCGGCCTGTGGACATGCTAATTAGCGAGGCCCTGTGGGACAATGGCACTGAATGGGCCAAGGACACACCTAAAGCATGAGGGCGGACACCTAAGAGCGGCCAGCAGAGAGAGGCTGAGGACCAGGTGATCTCCTGCAGCCAAGAAGAGGCCAGGAAGGAGGGATAAATAGGCCATGTGGTCGATGCCATCTTGGTTCTCAGCTCAGCACTTCATCCCAGAGGCAGCATTGCAGGGATCGAAGAGCCCGAGAGACCTGTGAACCCATCCTGACCCTAGGATGTGCAACAAGAACTCTTAAACCAGCAGCTGTAACATCTCTGCTAGAGGCTGCATCGAGAACTGGGAGATTCGGTGCATGTAACATACTATTCCTTTAACAACCTTACTCTCATGCTTTTCTTTATTGTAATAATAAACCTTTAGGTGTTAGATGCTAAAGGATTGGCTCAGCATGATTTGTGGGTAAGATCCAGAGGGTAAATTGACCAGGGATCTGTGGCTGGTTTCTTGGGGCCAGACAGAACTTGTTCGGGGTAGGTGGGATTGGGTGCTAGGACTCCCCACCTGTTTATGAGGCCCGGGACCCTCTGGGGCATGGATATTGCTGGGGTGTCGGAGGGGTTTTGCTCGTGAGGCTTCAGGCAGGCAGCTGAAGTGCTCTGTGGGATTGGTTGGTGGCCTGTTTGGAGAGGTCACCAGTCTGGGGGCTGTAAGGAGCCCCGAAGTAGAGCAATTCGCCCTGAGCAGATGCCCTCAGCTGTGCCCAGACATGGCCCGGTCTGTCACACTAGGAGGGTAGTGAAACACTGGAATGGGATACCTAGGGAGGTGGGAGAATCTGTATCCCTAGAGGTGTTTAAGTCTCGGCTTGACAAAGCCCTGGCTGGGTTGATTTAGTTGGGATTGGTCCTGCCTAGGGCAGGGGACTGGATTTGATGACTCCTGAGGTCTCTTCCAGCTCTATGGTTCTGTGATTCAAAATGGTGATTGTCTCCCTCAACATAGCTCCTTCCTCCACTGCCACCTGGTTTCTGTCTCCTGCCGGGGCATGTTCCATGAAAAGATCTGATCTCTTGTGTGTGGGAGGAGACCTCAAATTTATCCCAGCTGCCAAAGGTCCCCCTGAGCTGGCCTGAGCCACCCCCTCCTCCTAGTTCCCCTTCTGCCTTGTCCCCCCAATAACTGAGGAGGGCAAACTTCCATCACTAGATTATTAAATGAGAATTGAACAGATGTAAGATGCGGTCTGGCCTCCATTAGGGGAGCACTGCATCCCACCACAATATTCAATTCCCACAATCCCTCGTGATGCAGCACAAGGCTACAATACCCACTGTAGCGATGGGGAAACCGAGGCACAGCTTGGCTAAGCTATTGGGCCTATGTCCGACAGGGAGGCAGCGGCAGCCCAGTGATTGGAAGCCATGTCTCCCTAGTACCAGCTGTGCCGCTGAGCCACCAGACCATCCATCTTCACTGTGGGCCCTGTGCCACCCTATAATCCCTCAGTAACAGAGCAGTGCCCCTTGGCACAGCATAATCCTCCCCAACAACAGCGGGACATCCCAAGTCACCTCCCTACGTTGCTCCCCCAGCCACAGCAATTTCCTGTGCACCCAGCCACCATGCCCTCTGCCCCCAGCCAGACATGCTGGTGACAGAGGCCCGACGTACCCGATGTTACCTGTAGCTCCTGGCAGGGGCCCGTGGGAGCAGATGAGACACCAGCCGTCGTGACCTGGTAGAAGGGAAGGATCCTCTTATCAGATGGGCCACTTTATATGCTGGGACATGGGCTGTCCCTGTGAGTCACTGTGATTTCTGGAGCGAGAGACACAGAGAGATGTCCCACATGCGGGCAGCCAGGTGTCTGGGGGTGGAGGGAGGCACTTGGCTGCCCTTGGTTGGCACCGGGAAGCTGGGGGAGGGACCCAGCCTTTGTTCTCATCTCTGTTTCCTTCAGGGGAACCCGGCCCTTGGAACAGAACCTTCTCCGCTGCCAAACCTGCCTCCCTGCGCCTCCCGCCCTGCTCGGGAGTGTGGCCTTCCTCTTCTCTCCCTGCAGTCCTGACTGAGGGGGTTGATCTCTGACCCTGCCCCATGTTTGCTGCCTCTGATCTCCCGGGAACCAGGCCCTGCCCCCTGACGCTCGGCGCTGGGCCTGCCCTGGGGCTGCCTTGGACTCTGACCTCCGGGCGGGCAGCCCAGCCTGATTCCCGAGCACTAGGTCAGACAGCCCATAACCCATTTGTGACCCCTCTCCCTGCAGGGGGGAGGGGGCAGCGAGGGGCCTACCTGCTCGGGCCCCTGCCTCTGGCCAAAGGCAAAAACGACCCTCTGGTTGCCTCCACCCATGTGCCGGTCGGTGACTGGGGCCCCCGCCATCGCTGTCCTGCTGCCATCGCCCAGCGCCGCAGGACTCGCACACGGACCTGAGTCTGGAAGAGACCTGGGCGTTTCCTCTTTCAGCACGGAGATGGGGTGAGGAAGGGTTCCTAAAAGTCGGGGAGCCAACCCGGCCTGTCCGCTGGCCCCTTCCTCACCCCGACCCTTCCCCCTGAGGCCCTGACTTCAGGCTGCCCCTTCCTCCGAGCTCCCCACCCCCGACCACCCCTTCGTCCCAATCTCCTATTCTTGTACCACCCCTTTGCTCAGAGGCCCTGTCCCCGTCCCATTCTTTGAGTTCTCTTTCCACCAATCTCTTGGCCTCATGCTGTCCCTTCTGCCTATGCCTCATGACACCTCGCCCCCCCTGAAAATCACCCCCCACTTTCTCCTCTCCTCCCTCGCTGCCTTTGCTCACCCTCAGAGGTGGAAAGTCACTAAGTAGAAATACTTCGTTACACTCCTCAGGTACATTTTTTATCCATTGACTTTTACTCAAATAGTTTTGTTAGAAAATATTGTACTTTTTACTCCACTACAATTTCTGGAAGCGCTTAGTTACTCACGACTTTCAGCATCACAAGCCAGCATCCTGTTTTGCTAAAACATAGCCACAGGCGCATGGGTACCATTTAGAGGGAGCTAGGTACCAAGTCTGAACTCCTGGATTTCATACTTGAGGTCTGCTTAAAGATGCATGCCCAGGCTCCAAAGGCAGCTCTTAACTGCAATAGGGTTTGAGGGCTTGCAGATTTGCCTTTGGGGCAGGGAGTTTGTTATAAAAAAAGGGAGGGGTTATTAAGAATAACAAAAGACAGGTCATTCAAGTTAATTAAGGGATCCTTAGATCATCATGAAAACATTGCCAGGTACTTAAAAGCTGGGAGGGGGTGAGAGGAGTAGCAATGAGTGTTGTGTTGTGTCATTCCACAAGGAGTAACGGTAGTTCGAACTAGGAAGCCTAGTTCGAACTACCTAGTTCGAGCCCCGTGTAGCTGCGCGGCACGGGGTTTGAACCAGCGGGGTTTTAAAAATGGCGGCGCCCCGCTTATGCAAATGAAGCCCGGGAAATTCAAATCCCGGGCTTCATTTGCAAGTGCGGTATGCCTACATTACCCCGCTAGTTCGAACTAGCGGGGTAGTGTAGACATATCCACAGAAAGTATCAAATTGCCTCTATATAAAGTCATGGCATGCCCACATCTTGAATACTGCATGCAGATCTAGTCACCCCACCTAAGAAAAAAGATTTATTGGATTTGGAAGGTACAGAAAGAGCAACAGAAATGATTAGGGGTAAGGAACAGCATCCATATGAGGAGAGATTAACAAGTCTGGGACTTTTCAGCGTGGAAAAGAAATGACTAAAGGATGGGGAGATATGTTAAGGTATGTCTACACTACAAAGTTAATTCTAACTAACAGAAATTAGTTCGAATTAACTTTGATAGGCACTACACAGGTAAACCGCTAGTTCGAACTTAATTCGAACTAGCGGAGTGCTTAATTCGAACTAGGTAAACTTCATTCCATGAGGACTAACGCCTAGTTCGAATTAAGTAGTTTGAATAAAGGGCTGTGTAGCCACTTAATTCGAACTAGTGGGAGGCTAGCACCACTCTGGGCACCACCAGGGAAACTCTTCTGCCCCTCTCCTGGCCCCGGAGCCCTTAAAGGGGCCCGGGCTGGCTACGGTGCCTGTGCCAGGTGCAAGCCTGCCAGCACCCAGCCAGCAGACCCTGCACCTGGCACGGCTCGAGCCACCCACCCGA